ATGTGCAGATATGGAAAGCGCTGGAGAGAGTCCGTGATGCTACAGCATGTATGCATGTGCAGTCGGGTTTATCGTTTTGAACGACGTCGTTAACTACAATGTAATACTGAACTAGATATAACCGTTCCACTGTGAAATGATGTATAAATTCCTCTTTATCGTGAAGCGCTATAAATGCGAAGTATGCTTTAATGAATAGAACAACCATCATAAACAGCGATCTCTTTACAAGTTTTTCCAAAATTTGTTCTTTTTAATTTTCATTTTATAGTTAAAAAAAGTTGTTGCTTCATCTATATTTGCGCTCCGACGATTCAATAGGTTTGCTTACAATTCATGAATGATAGGTTTTGTTCTTACATTGAACTTGTTTGCTCCAAATAATTTCCTGAAATCAGTAATCAAAATTGACAAAGGTTCGAGTTGATTTTACGGTCGGTTTCAATATTCAATCTACAGATACATTTGTTTACTAGAGATAGAATAATGACGTAAGTGTTATGGAGCTAATATCAAATACCTATCGCTAGTAACCAATTTTATTTGTAGATAGAATATTGAAACCTGTCGTTAGTCTATAACGTTGATCTCCTGTCACTCTGTAGAACATTTAATAACATATATAACTATCATAATTATAGCATAAATATCGCATATAGCATAAAGATAATATATAGTAATATAGATAAGATATAGCATGAAGAAAAAATCGCGCAATGTTGGTGTAAATTTGTGCAATGGCGGATTCAATTTTAAACGTAACTTCTCTACAAAGGCGCATAATTCAAGCTGAGATCGTCACTGGGTGTGGCTCAAACAAAATTTTGTTTATTTCGCGAATACAACTCGCTTAATCACTGACCATGGCGCAGTTGTCCCTTGACACTATTTATTATTCATATTTATTGCCTTCGTCGTGGGTTCGATTCTCACACGGGACAATTATTTGTGTAACCCATAGTAACTGTTTCCCAGAAGGCAAAACTTTGAATGTGGTATTTAAAGTGATATTTTATTGTACACTAGCTTTTCGCCCGCGGTTCGGCCCGTATGTACCACATTTTATATCGTGCTTAAAAAGTAGCCTTCCTCAATAAATTGTCTATCTAACAGTGCAAGATTTTTAATCGGACCAGTAGTCACTGAGATTAACGAGTTCAAACAAAAGGACAGATGCAAGCTAGACTGCTTTTAGATCATAAGATGTGCGTACGATGTAACAAAGAGCTGTGGATTTTGTGTGAAATAAAAATAAAATATAAAATAAAAATCTCATAAACTGTGATATTAAGACAGTTGTAATTTTCACAGATGCTGTATTTCTATTGACGCTATTACAACAACTAAAGGAAATCAGAATATTTTTTTTAAGTGGGGCTCTCATTCAACAGACATAATTATTTATAGATTATGGTATGGAACCCTTCTTGCACGATTGCGACACGCACTTTCCTGGTTTTTAAATTTATATAATCTAACAATCATCATTTTACAGACCATAATATAATTATAGTTAACTATAGTTTAATCCAATTTAGCTGTAGCGCTTACGTTTTTTTAAGTTGATATAACTTTTTTATTTATGAATCTTTTTGAATAAAACTAACACTAAAATTAAGTAATGTAAAGTACTACAATGCATCATTGAAAGTTGCACCCAAATCAGTTAAGCCGTTTCTGAGATTAATGCGCACAAACGCACATACACACAGAAAACAATTTTAACAACCATTGTTTTGGGTTCTATTCGGTTGATAAAGGGGGATCTTTATTAATAGTTTTTCTCAAATGTCTCCCATGTACAGACAAAGAGAAGTTACATTTTTATTATAAGTATAGATATCTGTCCCTTGCCCCTATTCCACGCGGACGTAGCAGCGGGAGTTTATCATAAAGCTAGTTAATACAAAACTTGAAAGAAAAAAAAGAACAGTCATTTCATCATTAAAATACAAGTTTATTTCTTGGATTTACCAATAGTATGTAACGAATTAAAAGAAAAGAAAAATTAAGTAATATGTCGTATACTTGAAACTAGAAGGTTTGTGCATCATTTATTTTCATAACATTATCGTCATAAACGTTATGTCCCTCTTATTGTATTTTATTGAATAAATATGAATAATAAATAGTGAATAATAAATAATATGTGAAATAATGTCATATTATACAAAACAAGATTTCCTAGTGACCGATTGCCTTATAAAATTCGAATGTATTTCATGATTTCCGTTATCCCCAGCCTATTTAGAATAAATAAACTTCTTTATAATTATTAATCAAACACGCGTTGCAAATCAACTCAAAACTGTTTACATACGTAATTATCCGATGAACAGCACTCCTAATATGTATTAAACGTCATTGGATATTAAGTCAGCCGTATATCAGGCCTAATTTAAAATGCAACGTTAAAAATGTTCCGTTCAACTCGAACTGCTGATTCGCAGGTAGACGTGTGTCTGCGTCGATTATACGATGCGTGTGTTATTGCACAACGCTCCTTTTTATTGTGCGTTTCCAGTTACGTATTTCGCGGTATTTACTCGCGTGCTGGACTAGGAATTAGCTAGATCTCGGTTAGCGGTTTGACAGCGTATTTAGCAGAAGTATAAGAGTTTTAAAGCCAGACTACATCGTGTAGATTAGATAAACCTATCCGTCTTGTCTGCGCTAACGTTGTACGTGATAAAAAAGTTGTTTGTTACGGACTCTGCTTGTTAACGCCATAAGAGTTACAGCATTTTCAAGTGATATCATATCTAAACGTGTTAATTATAAAATAGAAACTGTGGAAACGGTTATTAGTTTTTTTTTTAATATGACAAAACCAAATGCTATGTTAAGTTTGCTGAAAATGTTCCTCAAATGGATATGGATTCGCAGAGCTGCGATCGACTCGGAAAACTTGAAGGTTTGAGCTGATATTCGTAAATTTTTTTCTTAACTATTTTTTTAGTGTGAAAATTGTTTTTATATAATAATTGTTAGGGACAAATTTATTTTAATAATTAATTACAAGCGTTTTGTTGAAAAGAAAATTTTATTATTATAAAATATATTTAAGTAATTATAAATGTCAGAAAGTCTGAATTAATCTTAAACTTTTTTTCCCTTGATTGATGGTGATTTTGCAAAAGTTTGCTTTTTTACTTCAATTTTAAGAACCGCTTGAATTTAGTTTCATTTTTACGATTCCTCCTTCATGTTTGTGTCAATTATTTTTGACGTAATTGTTCACTGATGGTATAAACCATTACAATTCAATTAAGATAACGTTACATAATCTTGTCAGGTACATTATTTTGACCACGGTGTAGCCAGTTTTCTGGTTTCAAAAATATATCCATTAGTTTAATGTCATGTTATTTTCTTCATTTAATTTTATTGTGCATTGCACTTTTAATTCATAAATCATCGTCATCCTCCTGCCTTATCACATATAAGAGGGGGGTAATGGTATTAGAAGTGATTTTGGCTGTTTGTCTACGACGATGCGAAGCGAGCTGGTGGTTCACCTGATGTTAAGTGCTAAACGCCAACCGTCACCTTCCTACTTGGGAATAAACACCCATATCAGGAACGGACTGTCTCATGCAATCAATCGAACCCAGGTCCCATCCACTCTGAACTGCCTCAATCGAACCCAGGTCCCATCCACTCTAGAATGTCCCATCCATTCTAGACCGTCCCATCCAATCGAACGCAGGTCCCATCCACTCTGGACTGACCCATCCAATCGAACCCAGATCCCATCCACTCTGGACTGTCCCATCCAATCGAACCCAGGTCCCATCTACTCTGGACTGTCCCATCCAATCGAACCCAGGTCCCATCCACTCTGGTCTGTCCCATCCAATCGAACCCAGGTCTCGCATCGAAGCCAACAACTTAGCAACTGCGCCATCGAGTCATATTACTTATCTCATTTTTTATTCTTAATAAAAAGTAATTACGTCATGGTTTAAGATTGATATAAACTTAAAACATGATTCCTTAAATATTGCCTCCAATTATAAGATCAGCTTGATAAGATTCTTTGCACAAATAGTAATGGTAAAGAACATTTGTGCAACATAAGATACAGCATTTAAGGCCCATTTACACGATGCCATTATCTTGTACATACAAGAGCAATAATTGAATGGAATAAATTGCGCGCAGTAATTGTTTAGACCATGCAACTCATTTATTGCTTCAATTTAATTGTATACAACAGGCAAGAAACTGGCACCATGTAAATGGGCCTTTACATTGTAAATGTTGAGCTAATGTTTGAAATCCTTATTGAATTAAATAAATATTACATCATTTAAACATAGAAAAAAAGAGTTGGCACTATAAACTTATAATCATCTTATTTCGAAACTAATATATATAATGAATAGATCGCAGATTACGATACAGTAAAATTTCGGAGAAAATGTGCATTAATGCATTCGAGATTTCCAACTATTTGTGGATCATACAGATATTTGGACAGTGGCAGGATATTAGTGAGATAACCATTGACACCATAATGCCACGTCATTCAGTATTTAACAGTTCATCAGTTCTAATTATTTAGATTAAGTCCCTCAAATCGCTGGCTAGCAATACACATTTAGTGTTGATGTAAGCAAAACCAATTAGTAAAAGTAATAAATTATTGATCGTTATTCAATATCTTTAAACTAAAATATAACCAACTATAAAAATAAGTCTCATAAACTATCTCTGTAAACTGTTTACTAACTGTTGTTACTGTGTGTAACTGCGATCTATACCTACTATAAAAAGACAATAGTTTGAAATATTTTTGAAATGTTACAAGTGTAATTCATATAGACAACATACAAACGAAGGCAAATTATTGTTAATACTGAAATCCATTTTTACTCATAATAAGGGTAAATAAAATTTGTAGTCATGTTACTTCCACATACATTAAAATACAATAAAAACTATTTGGATTTAGTGTTATATCGTAAGAAACACAAACACCATGTTATCTGGTCCAGGTTTCGAAGAAAATGTCGGTGATCACAGATTCAATAGACCTCGAGAAGGAGTACTCGCCGAGTATGTGGTCTACAAGGTTCTCCACGGCGCAGGAGGTGCTGCAACATCATGTACAATTTGTCACTGCAGGTAAAAAAAACGTCATGTTAGACACCAATGATGCGAATAATCCATACTAATATTAGCCATAATAATATTTGGAACCTTATTTCTGAAATAGAACTTATGGTAAACCGTATTAGTTAAAATGGCTTAGCATTTAAGTCTAGAAAAATTGGATTTTATCCAAAAATAAATATTTACGAATTTATTTATTATAATAATTATTTGATATAAATACCAATCATTACCCATACTGGAATATAAACATACAAAAGTGTATTTTTCGGGTCATAATTTTACCCTTCCTTCACTTTTTCTACGGTCGACACGATTTTATTGGAGAGATCATTAACGGGCGGGCATCGTGTCTCAGATAAATTAGGTCTTGAGCGACATCTTGGTATTTAAGCTTACTTTGATGACTTTTAAATTATTATCCACGCTTCGAAACGAAATTTCTAACAATTTATACAAAACCACTAGTTAATTTACTTCACTACCATTTCACCATTTAACTTCCGACTCTCCCTTTAAGACTATAGTAGGTGCCTTACTATTATGTTAAAACAAACTGCAGACACGATGTATAGATAAGTCGAAGTTTATTTTATTTTGGACTCGAAACCGCCATTACGGTTTGAGTCAACAGAAATAAGAGACAATGAGCGATCGTAAATAATGTTTGTTTCGTTTCAGCCAGCGAAAAGGCAACCAATAACATTCCCCATAAATTGGAAATCGAATATGGTTCTACCCCCGGGCAGAAATTGGACATTTTGGGCACAGATTTGCCAAACGGTGAGTGATGAAATTTTTTAATACTTTTTAATAATGCTAACTCGTTTTCTCTAACTGTTACTATAATGGCACCATTTTTTTGGTAAGCAATGCTGGTGCGTAAGCGTCAACGTCTCATGTCAATTTCGGAGAGCTCATTAGGTCATAAACTTTATCTATCGCCGTTCGTCTAACATAGCTTTAAGAGTAGTATTTTAAAATTGCGTCAGAAATAATTGAAAACAGCGATGAATCGAATGCAGACATTCAGAACTCAGTTGAGTGTATGATCTGCATCGGGCTAAAGTAGCACAAGTCACCTTAGACGGTTTTACATAAAAGTAAGGCAGGTACCCCAGGGCACTTGAGAGCCTGACATTTGCAATTTGTTTGGCAAATTTTTAACGTTTTGGCTGACCAGGATGAGCGAATTTTTAAATAACATTCATGGAAGAATACGAAATTCACTTTACTCAAAGAAATCACTCTACTCGTTACGGTAGCTTGGCACTTTGATGGATTGACAACTGAGCTAAACCTATCAGACCTTTTTTATGTGAAAAGCTAGCAAAGGAGCAGGTGGTAAGCCTGATGTTGAGTGATTACTGCCGCCCATGAACTTTTCCATCAATATAATACTATAATCACAAACAATTGAAAATCTAAAATTGAAATTGAAGACAAGGCAACAAAATAGAAAAACAAGGCAGTATTATATATGTATGTAAGACATAAGACAATATCTTCAACTCTCGTGTTAAATTAAAATATAAACCAGCGCCAATCTTATTACTGTAAGTTAATAAGAAAGATTTTGCCAAAATTTCTTAGTAAATATCCGGCTTCATAAGAATGAAATCGGAGTTATTGGATTCCATGTGATGATAGTGTTGTAACTGCAATTTTTTATTTTTGCGTTTTTGTCAGAGTTGTTTCGAAAGACCATATCTATTTTAAAATATTACATAACAATTTTAATTTTTTTTTTTGGAATAATCACTACCTGCCCATAATACGCAATATTGGTTGAGGGTTGATTTATGGGAAAACTATACAGATCTTATTAAGAGCAATGTTGGTATACAAAGCCAGGTATTGCTTGTTTACATATACACATATACATTATTTACATATACATTATGTCAAACTGCTTATTTAAAAAAAAAAGGCCGCTGAGTTTCTTTCGCCGGTTCTTCTCAGTATAGTGGCTTTCTTTTCCGAACTGGTGGTAGTGTTTTGACTATCAATAAGTGAGTGTAATGCTCCTATGTTGAATAAAGACATTTGATTTTGATTGATTTTTATACTTATTATTTATTTACTTATTAAGTAATTTTTTATAGTATATATACTTATTAAGTATATTCTATATATTTCATAAATAGTTACTAAGTAAATCAATAATATGGTACCTAGCTGAATCAATATCAATAATAATGGAAAATATACACTTCACATAAACGGAAATATCAAGTGACAACCATTTTATTACCTTATCAAAATGTATAAAATAATAAAACATTATTAAATTATCAGTTTTCAAAATTCGTCTATCCAGTCGATCACTGATAACTTTAATTAAGCAGCTTCGAATTTATCTAAAATGCAAACAAATGTAGTTGAAATATGACTGCGTGACATCTCCGGGCTCATTATGCGTATTTACATAACATAATGAATGATTGATAAATACAACGATAACATTAAAATATGTAAATATTTTGCTTTGATTGTTTTGACATTAGAGTATCACAGAATCTTGCTTAAATCTTCTATAATAACATTGCCTAGGCTAAATAACTAGAAGATAAGCTAGTGCCTGGTTCACATTATTCCAGCCCAGTGATCCAGCAAATCAATCAATTCCAGTGTTGGACTGGATTTTTTTTGAGCTTGATGAACCACTGTTGGGCTTAGGGCCTTTACAGTTTAATGCTGGACAGGATTATATCATATCGATTAAGAAACCGACTTGTGACACGCACGCACGCAGATTTTTTTATTTCTTTTTCTTTTTATTAAACAACGTAACGCTTACTTTTACGTAACTGCGCGACGGAGTCACCAAGATGTTGATGTTGACGTCAAGATGTTCTTACAAAGAAACAAAGTGCAGAAATATTTACTACCACCGAAATTGACTCTTCAGTCGATGGTGGATTATATCGTTTGCATTATTCCAGTTTTTTTTAAAGAATCAAAATCTTTTGAAAAACTAGTAATTAGCAACACTACAGTGATAATAATTTCAACAAAGGAGTTCCAAAATTATTATAAAACTATTCACTGGTGTTAGAAGAAGTAAACGATGTAGTGAAAGAAATTCCGAATGATTACCCAAACACATGTTCTCTATACAAAGAAATAAACTATAGAGGTATTTCCTAACACTGAAGTTTACCGAAGAGTCGGGTTCAGTGTTAGGAAATATATGGGAATACATTTAATCTAGTAATGGAATTGGGGTCTGCACTATTACAGTGGCGCTGGAATGAGCAAGCTGGAATGAAAAAGTGGACCTGTGGACTAGATAGCTCACTGGACTGGGTACATTCCTGTTCCGGCTTACATTATTCCAGTGGCACTCCAACGCCAGATTCAATAACTGAAATACTACTGGAATAATAAATAAGCATATTTCCAATGAGAAAATGAATTATTTATTATTTTAATTAATTTGGCCAATATACTTCCATTCAAACTCAGCTATTCTTGGGCAGACATGAACTGTTAATGATTATTATGCTTAAGCAATTGGTACTATATATGTAGTTACATCATAACTTTGTTCCTAGATTATATCAAACTAAATCTTTCGAATTCAGACCATCACCATTATTGAAAATTTTAAACTAATTATTTTTGACAGTAAAGCCAGCCAATAGGCTACTTAACAAAAAATAACCTCTCAATAATTTTTCATCCATCCACATTCTCCATTTCATTCAGTCATTTTGAAATTTTAAAACTCTGGCGGCAATCTTCACTTAGTGCAACTGTTCCAGCAACGATGCAAACTGCAACGACAGCAAACTTTTATGTTCAACACATTGACAGCATGAATTTAAAGAAGGAATGTTTTCTGAATTCATTTGTACACAATATATACATATATTACTATTTAACATTCCCTTGCATTCTGGTTATTTTTGTCGAAACAAGATAAAATTTTCGAGTTTTGGTATAAATTAAATTAAAACAGCCTGAACCGGTTTACTCTAGGTCGCTAGAAGTATTTTATTTTAACCGGTTTTATTTCAAAATTCAGACAGCAAGCAATATGGCAAAACCAAAAATTTAGATCAACTAGAATATTTAAATTGCAATTTTGAAATAAACCTACATATTCTAAAAGCCTAAAACATCTTTCAACACATTTTAAAACGAATCACATGAAATGTCGAAAACCAAGTAGCCTAAACTCATCATCTAGATGATTTAAATTTTCATCCACAAGCATTTTAATATCAAACAAAAAAGCCCAAGAACATTAATCCAACGCAGCATATTAATACTATGCCACGTTATAAGATAGTTGGGGAAAGTAATTGTACACTTCTAGCTATCATGTTTATTGCGGCTTTGTTAAAGTTATAAAGTAGGTATATACGATTTTTCAAACTTCACTTTGGGGCATATATCCACCTGAAACAGGTCGAGGATTAATTCCGAAGGAAAATTCTTACTTCACAACCTTCTTTATATTGTGATCCTGTTGGATTGATGTACCACTTGCCATAAAATTCTTACTTCAGTGTGAATCTTGTCTATCGATTTGTGATACTCCGATGCTTATGTAATAATCACTCAACCCTGGAGACATTGTCATCAGTGACTGCGGTTGGCGGTAGTCCTTACCTGTTGTCATCATCTCAACTACCTCGACCTCAATTAAATTCTCTGTAACACTAGATGAATGTAACTAATTATTGAGAAGACGCAACAAGAGCTGATTACATTTTTGTACACAGATAAAGATTGTTTTCTTTAAAGGTTAAAAATGCAAATTAACCTTCCATTTTCACATAATTTAAAGAACGATGCGTTCGTCACTAAAGGCTTTCCGAACAATAAGCATGTTTTGGTAGCAATGCAGTTTGGCAGCGTTAGAATAGTGTTGTTAATCGATTTGTTAATCAAATATTTTATTAAAATAATTTATTACTTATAATTTTAACTGCGGTAGGGCAACGCAACAATCTTCGCTGTTGCACTAACTGGGTATGTACCACGACCTGATAGACGACCGGCGTGAAGTGGAAGTGTTATACTTCTGCATTTCGTCTGGTGAATGAGATAGCCAAGACACACTACTAAAAGGTAGCATCAACAAGTCATATGCAACTACGGGTGTGGAAAAATTTCAATGGGCGATGGTTTCAAAGACATTATTACTTTATAGGGGCGACATCGCGTCATCATTTCGACGTCATTTTGTCCTCTAGTGACGAAAATAACTATAAATTTAACGATAAATTTCAAAAAACAAATGCAAAAAAATTAGAAGGAGCTCCGAGCTATATATTGACAATCTGTGTAGATTGAGCAATATTTTGATATTTAAAACAACCAAAAATTTAATGATTTTTTCCGGTGACTCGTCCTACTGCTTTGCGATGCGCTGGCTTGGTTGTTTATTTACAGTAAAGATAAGTAAAGTAGTAAGATAAGCCTATATATTATGTCCTACTGCTTGGTATAAGGGTATAGTCTACCACATTACCGGATAGGCGGACTTCACATGTGTTCTAAACATTTTTTTGTTGTCATTTCGAAAGGAATCGTGAGGAAACCTGCACAGGTTTCTTCACGATGTATTACTTCACCGGCGAGCACGTGCTAAATCAGAACTAGAAACTAACAATATCATTGGCGCCGGCACCGAGCTTTAAACTCAGGTTGATCGAGTACCTTGAATAATAAAAAAATGAATAACGCGGGTAACCTGGGTAAATATGTATTCAAAAAAGTTGTATTGTTAATTGGTAGTGGATATAGTGAATAAGTAGTTTTTCTTTATATTGTAGATTGCCGCACTATTGTATTAGGTTAAGTATCTGTAATATTAGTGCAAGGTTTTGTTAATAAATAAATAAATAAATAAATAACCTGCCATTTTGTAGCGGTGATCATGTTGGATTTACAATGATAACGAATGTATTAAATTGTATTTCAGATTAATCCGTCAACAGGATGAGGGTCAAATTTCAATTAATAGATTTGACCCAAACAGTAATTTTTTTTTTTTTTTATTTAACATAAATAAAATCGTTTAGAAAAAGAGTGTGACACTGAGATATCACGGCTCGGTATATGTGTCTTCAATATATCTATCTAGTTACATCTTTTTCAATGATAGTCACCAATTATTGTCGTTTTATTATTCATTTTAGGATAACATTATCCTGTGTTGTTAGGACGATTTACAAACATAAATTTCACGTGGACAAACCCAGATGCGAAACAATTATCTGTGGGTCACACAAATACTTGTCCCGTGTGGGAATAGAACCCACGACCCCCGACGCCGCAGCCAATACCTTGGCCACTGCGCCACGCAGTCCTCAAATTATGATGATGATACAAATATTTTTGCAGATTCCCCCATACTGGTATACGTTCATGGCGGTTACTGGCAAGAGCTATCCCGGGAGGTGTCCAGGTATCCAGCACAGCCTCTGTACCGTTCCCGTATCAAGACCATCGTGATTGGCTACGATCTGTGCCCGGCCTTCACCTTGCCCGAACTAGTGCACCAGGTCGAGAAAGCTGCAAGATTCGTATTTGAATACGCCGAGAAGATGGGTTCAAGGTAAATCTTGAATTTCCTACATAAACAACGCTCGAGTTTTTGCCACGTCTAATCCCATTTGGAGTCAACGCCTTTAACTTTTAAAAACGTGCAATGCTCATTGCATGAATATTTCATATTTTAAATATAGTATATGACTACGTAATAATATTTAAATGGATGCATATGAAGAAGAGATATTCTCCCTCTTCATACGGTCATTTAAACAGAAAATGTATAAATTTCTTATAATTTGGTAAAAACCTTCGTAATGGCGATGTTACTTTCATTTCGGACAAAAAAATTTACAAACCGAAACGTGTTCGTCGTTGAAATAAATGCACGCGTATGTACGTATACACACGTGAATTGGTAATGTCAGTGATTGCCGAAAATAAGACGATACTAAAAATAGCTTTGATTCAATCAAGGTCGAAATCCCGTCTCCGACCTCGAAAATTGGTGCTTTGTTACATTACCATTTCCGCGGTTAAATTTTTTCTGTTACGCAATTTGTTTTTGTGTCTTAAAGTAGTAAAAAGGTGTACCCACTCGTTCAGGCGCATGATAGCTAAGCTACAGAATAATAAGTGAACCAGAGTGTGGGCTTCCAGCTACCTCAATCACCGAACGAAACGCAACAGTATAAAAACTTTTACTCCACACCTGTCTTGTAAGACGGTGATTCTTCCTTGGTCAAGCTGTTCTATTCGTGAACAAGCTATTAGAAAATGTTTATTTAGATTTGGTTTCGTGTAATAAAATTTTATCGTTCTAAATTCGAAAATTCAGAGGCGTCTACTTCGCGGGTCACTCGGCGGGTGCTCACCTAGTGGCGAAGCTGCTCAGCAACGCCGACTTCTTCGAGAACAATCCGGGCTCGCGTCTCTTGCAAGGAGCATTCCTCATATCGGGAGTGTACGATTTACGAGAACTGGTCCACACGTCAGTGAACGACGCGGTACAGCTTCCGCACGAGTGGGCGGTGCCCCTGTCACCGCTGTTCGATTGCTTCACGCATCTGCAGGCGAGGAGGACCAGGGTTTACATCCTCGCCGCGCAAAACGACAGCCCCGCCTTCAAGAAGCAGTCGAGGGAGTTCTACGAGCTCCTCCACAACACCTGCTTGATGCAACACATGTATTTGGAGATAAAAGACGACCTCGATCACTTCGATATCGTGGAGTGCCTCGCCGAAGAGGACAACTACCTTAAGAACCTGATGGTGCACGACGTGCGGAAACACCTGTGAAAACGCTTGCTGCGGTCTCGTACAAATAGATGACGATCATCTAGTTTATATTGAACTCTTAATTTTAAGACATTTACGATATAGACACATTTGTCTAAATGTCATGTAACGATATGTTAATCACCATATTACTCCTTCCTACATATTTTCTTTTTTTTTATTATTTCTCAAAAAGAATTGAATTGCTTTAGCCTAATTGTTCATTTTAAAAGTTATGTTTTAAAGCTATATTTTATATGTTAATATGTTGAAAATAAGAATTGAAAGAGAGAGTTATTTTTTTTATATTTGCAAAGTGCAAACACAGCCTATTATGTGTATAAATTTAAAAAGAAAATAACATGAAATCATCTTGATTATATATAAAATGATATTTTAGATATTAGATAAACTTTCAGGGTCCTTAATTTAGGCCGAGTTGGATATTAGATTAATATAACGTTTTTCAACAACAAATTGTACCTAAATTTTAAGCTGCTAAAATAACTAGATTTATTCATGTCTTTTGTTTATGTAATATTAAGATTTACTTACTTTAAGCCGTGTTTATTTTGTGTATAATATTGCATAATTTTAGGTTATTTTTATATAATGATTCAATGCTTCCTCGAGAAGTGATCTCGTTTAATTCAAATAAAATATTTTTAATGGTTTCAATATTCTCTCTCTTCATCTTTACGAATAAGCAATCATGAGAAGACCTAATTTAGTATAAAAATTGTGAAAACAGGTTCATAAAAATATTGGTTTTTAAAAATTGATTTACACGTATTATTCTAATAATTCTTATTTAACCTATCAAGTTAGCACCAATAAAAATAATGCTTTATCTCATCGTTGCCTTAATTAAAGTAACTTTTCGAGTACATTGAAATATTCTCCTTTTTTAAATTTCCGATTTTTTAAATTTCTTTTCACATAAAAGTAATATTAAATGGTTTTTATGTATTGTGTAATAATTTTAAGGTTAAAATTGGTACGCCTTTCATTTATAAACCACGTGCACATCATACAATGTCATCTACATTTTTTAATCACTTTGTAATTCATGCATATTTTAACGTAAAGAATAAGATATACGTGCAGTATGCATATTCTTACGTAAGCACGTGCTACTTCTGAAATGTTGAGGGTTCAAATTGTATTAAATTTGAAAACATGTTCAAAAGTCATTTTTTTAAAAAGTCACATAGGAGATAAATAAGTGTCACTCTTAAAGAAACGAATTTGGAGACGATTTTTCCAGTCGAAATATAGTCATGTATTTTGAGGTTCTTCATGCACATAAAATAAGCGAAGCGATACTTAATGTCAACCACTATCTACCATTCAACCTATAAAAAAAGTAAAGTAACAGCCTATACATTTCCCACTGCTGGGCAAAGGCCTCCTCTATACAGAGCTTAGACACACGGCTCATATATATATTGATTATAAAAATAAAAATATAAACATAAAATAATCTACTATACCAGATGTATATAACACACATACTCTATCTAGTCTTCTAGGCAGCACTTAGAAGATTTTATAATGAACTGTACAAATGTACTGAAAGTGAAGATATTAAGTGAGGACTTGAAGAAGAATCAAGAAAGGAATAAAGGGGTGGTTAGCGCTAAGAAGCGGCGTTGGTGAAAAGGTAACTATCGAAGTTGAGAACGATAGGAAGACACATGGTCATAGTTATAGAGATTGATAGTAAGTCTAATGCAGTTATTCAGAAGCCGATTGTGTTTATTGAGTTGATATCGCCATAGTCGATTATAGGAAGGATTAAGGGATGCAAGAGTGTTTGTGTGTGCCTTAGATTTGTCGGTAAAAAATTGAAACCAAAGTTTTTTAAGATGGGATCAACTCTAACAGTTGTTGTATGATTACCTTAATCCACTTTGTTCGTAGTACGTTGTGTTGAAGTATTTAAATAAAGCAAATTTTACAAGCAATTGAGCGATCATAACTTTGATAAACTTACAAACTTAACTGACCTGCTTAACAAACCTAATCAAAATAACCTGTTATAATGCAAAATAACTATGCGAGTAGCATTGTTAATTTCATGCCTATACAAAGCAGAGCCTATAGGCAATTCAACTAAGAAAATTGTTTAAGATAGGTGAGTATTATGCGGATACACATAGAGTCTCGTACCAAAAAAAGAGCGAATTGATAATATTAATAGCGGGCTTTATGTATTAAATATTTTTTCTGTCAGGCTAATGGTAGTGGTATCGTAAGGGTATAGCAGTTCAAGTACCTGGGTCATTGGGTCACTGAGGCACCCGCAGATGACGTTGATATATAGAGCGCACGGGGTATCGTCAGCTAGGGCTAATATTCTATCATATTTTTGATCATTGAATTAAGGTGTTAAGTGGTAGCTCAGTGTCCGGGCGCTCGCCTTTAATTTAATATAATCGAGCAACCTGAGTTCAATCCCCGGTGCCAGCACCAATGAAATTGTCAATTTTAAGTGCTGAATTATCACGTGAGCAGCTATGAAAGGAAACATCGTGAGGAAACCTACATATTTTCGAAATAATAACAAAAAAAATATTTCGAAGATATGTGAAGTCCGCCAATTCGCAGTGGGGCCGCGTGGTGGACTATGCCCTGATACCCACTGTACAGGCCTTTGCTACTGATACTTTAATTTTACTTTTTTAATTATATCTAATCATGTCACCTGCCTAGCTTGTAAGCCAAGTATCATCTTCAACATCATCATTACAGCCTGTTTGAGTCCACTGCTGAACATAGGCCTCCCCCAAGAATAGTGAAGCAATAAAGATATTTATGTTGTTTAGTTTTTCTACTGTTTGTAGAACATTTACTAAGGTGAGTATTGGTAATTGGCCAATAGTGGAGAATAGCTTTTTAGATGTGCATTTGACAGCAATGTTCACATGAAAGTACATTTTCCACAGAGTATCTTAGTGTGAAATATCCATTCAATGAATTCACCAGTTCGTAATTTGTACCCGTGAGTGTTATTCATTTTTGTATATTTCTCCGTTATAAAAGTAATTTTAAGTCTTGTATTATAATACGGTTGTATTTTTCCTATCATGAAATTCGGTACTTTCATTTTAATTTAATTACCATCGCAAGATCACTTAATTTATCTGGTAAACAATAGCGCTGTCATTTTGATACCACCTGTTTTAATTAACGGGATAAATCTCCATATGTCGGCAAGCCAAAAAAGGGGAGAAATCCAATATTGATAATTGTAAATTGCCTCGGGGTAATTGTACCGCTCGTATACGCATGAATAAAATCATGTAAGAAACCTAAATCTTTTATATGACAAGATGGCATACGGCTGGCAGTTCACCTCATGTTAAGTGATATCCATTGACCATTGACATTTGCAACTGCCGTTGGATTGCAGATGAGTGGCGACCTTTTACTAAAGTGGGCCCCGGCTACTCACTCTCCCCACAAAACGCAGAAGCATAACATTTCTACTTCACGCAGGTCTTCAGTGAGGTCATGCTACTTACCGTGGTGAACGTGGTGTAGCCCTACCATAGTATAACCTCCATAATCTATTTTTTTATAGACAAATATGAACATTAATTTATTTGTATAAATAATTTCAAATTATCACAAACCATCAGTGCGAAAATCAAGCTTCTTTAGGTGTAATGTACAAGTGTCAATTTTCTAGACAGGACATTATACCCTTATCAAACAAATGTAACAATCCGCTTTTATAACTCAAATTCTAGGAATGATTGGTTAGATGACAACAATTACATTAAAAGCTATGAATATGAATAAATAAAGCATTTTTTACTTTTTCTTATTTGTGATAAACTTTCAACGTTAAATAGAATCAAAAAGAAGCTAAACTCGAAGATGCAGGTAGAATCCCGCAACACCGAAAGTTTTAGTTCATTTATCTTCTTATTTAAAAATTGTATTAGTAATTTAAATTGACAATTTAAACAAGTAATACAATTTTTAAAGATAAAGTAGCGTTTTTGCATTTCATGTCAGCTATCGTGTTGTAAGTTTTACTTGAATAATAGAACTTTGGAATTGGATCGCGTCGAGTCTATTTGTTTGCTGAATGTAATGCTATTTTCAGTTCAATGTAATTTTTTTGAATTTCCATTAATTATAATATGACTAGTGCCCGGTGTGCTTCAGTGTTCATTTTACCTAGAAAAATGTTTTTTTCCTTTTTTAAAAGAAATTTTTAATACGTAATTTTTTGTAAAAAATAAATCTCTCATGTTGTACATAGTGTGTTTATAATAAATTGGATCTATGATTCAAAATTTAATTGACTTAACTAAACCTCATTAAGGTCATCTGTCAGTTTCCATTGTAACCATATTAGTTGGCGTTATAATGTTGCTACATGCATGTATACAAAATTTTATATCAATCCGACCTATATGGTTCAAAAGATAAAAATGACTGCGACCAGCGCCACCTATCCAGCACTAACGTAGATCTAAAAGGAAAGTACATATTTTGTCTATGATTAAAAGTAATCAAATGAGTATAATATTCATATATTTTCATTCCTTAAAGTTGACCGTAGCCGTGAATTGTTAAAGACACCAGTTTAATATCAGCCATCATCTGTAAATGAACAAGAAAATATCTTAAAGGAATTATCCATGTTTCATGTAAGAAAAACTGGTATAAATATACGTGATTTCTGAATCATATATATTTATACTTGTTTTCCCGTCAGAATTTTCTGATGGCTGCACATGTCGACAAAGACATTACTTTGTGACCGTCTCGTCAGAAATTTGCCCGTAAATAAAGCGTTTTTTTATTTGAGAAATTGACAAACATGCAGGTAATTCAACTGCTGTTAAGTTGTTACTGCAGCCCATGTATCTATAACAAAAAAAAAGTGAGTGATGGCTCACTCCTAATGTTTCACTCACCGGACTTGTGTATAAATAAATTTATATTTTTGTTATTTACAAAAGACTTGTATGTTTTTGATTTGACGAGGGTATAGTAGT